AAGAATAAATGAATTTGATTTTCCTGAACTATATGACAAAGTGTACATAAACCGTTTGACAGTCTCATTTTAAATAATTTTGCCTCCGTAGAAATAATATCATGTAAGCATTTCCATTGGAAATTGTTACATTTCCTGTTTGCTATAGATGATTTTAAAGAAGTCCAAAATTTAACCCAATCTATGTCATCATTTTGATAAACAGCATCCCAGCTATTTTGTGATTTGGGATAATATTTCTTATTCAAAATTAGTTCTTTCAATATTTTATTCTTTAATCTATTCGGATCTATTACTTCATCGCTTTTATTTATTTTTATGTGTAGTTCATCAGTTATAACTATGGGTTCAATTTCTGGAGTCTCATGGTTAATTGATTTTATTTCTTGTAACCAATTGTTACATGAAGAAATTGCCTTCTTGACTATGGAGAATTCTGATATCCAGTTATCTTTAAATCGTAACTTCTCCAATAATTCTTGAGAATTTATTAAATTATTTCCTTCTTCACTCCATATGTCTTTTATTTTCATTATATTTGATTTTGTCCAGTTTTTAAGGAAGATCGGATTTTTTTTAATGTGATATTTGTGTTTCCAAATATCCTTTGATTAAGTATTTCATTTTTTGTTTTGACCGAACGTCGTTTTAGCATAACCTGCCAACCTTGAAGAGAGATCTTATAGAGCTGTGGAATACTTTGTAATTCTAGTGATTTTGTAGTGTTACATTTACACAAAAAGAAATTTTGAGAGAAGGTAGAATCATATTTTTGAAGCCAGTATTTCCCCAATGCATTCCAGCATTGTAGTTCTGAGTGAATGATCTTGTATATATTTTTAATACCCTTTAACGTCTCCATTAAGTCAAGATCAATCATATTTAATCCACCAATTTTAATTTCTCTACAACATGTTTCTTTTGCAACTTTATTTACATTAGAGTTCCATAAATATGTGTAAATCATCTTATTTATGGTGATTTTATGTTTCTGTGGTATGATTGTCTGTGATACTTCATAGTTGATAGGCGAGAGTATTAATGATTTTATTATAAGAATTTTTCCTTTAAGTGTAAGATTTCGTTTTTTCCAACAACGTATGGTTGACTCAATTTTTTCTTATTTTTTCTTCCCAAATTTCATCCAAGTTTATTCCATAACCATGCGTTATCCCAAATGCCTTTTATTCGCTCTAATTTCCTTAAAGTTAGGAGGTCTCTGTTTCCATGTACCTATGTACATGCTTTTTTTTTCTTCTTATTTATTTTGGCACCAGATGCCTTTTCGTATTGGTTTAAAACTTTAAAGATTAAAGGAATAGATTTCTCATTACCAGCAAATAATTGTGAGTTGTCGGCAAACATATTAATTTTTGCTTCAATTTTTCCATTTTTACTATACGGAATATCAATTCCTTTTATTGTTATATTTTTCCTTATAGAACATGCCATGGGTTCAGCTTGGAGGATATAAATCAACGGTGCTATCGGGCACCCTTGTTTTACGGAAAGTGATAACTTAAATGGTTTTGAAATAAAGCCATTTGTAAGGATGTGACTAGATAATTGTTTATATGTCATTTTTATCCATTCTATAATTACTTTCCCAAATCCATTTTTTTTGAGACACATTTCTACCCATTCTCATTCCACCCGATCAAATACCTTTTGTTGATCTAAAAAAATAATACTTCCGCCTTTATTTTCTTCATTGGAGTACTCGATAATATCTTGGATTAAACGAATACTGTCTTCTATGTTTCTTCCCTTTACAAATCCCTTCTGGTCGCTATGAATAATATTTGGAAGTTCCTTTTTAATGCGGCCTGCAAGAATTTTTGTTATAATTTTGTAATCTGTATCAGGAGAGTGATTGGGCGCCAATTTTTGATGTCCTCCCTTTCTCCCTGTTTGTACAAAAGGGTTATCAAACCTTTGTATTGAGATGGGCATAGCTCTTTTGTTTGGAATATATCTATCATAACATTAGTAAATTGGTGCTTTATTAAGGAGTTTCCACCCTTCGTAATACACATGTTTTTCTTTACGTATTTTCGTGTCGTCATTTCCGTATTGCGTATCGGGCATTCCATTACAGTGGTGTAAATTATAGTAACACCGGGTAAACAATAGTACACGTGCGTGACGATGATATGTCATCACCCGATATCTAGACTTAACTTGGAAATGTGTAATCACACGTACTTCAGAAATAAAGCTTATGATACAAAGACATTAATTAACTCACGGGCAAACACTGACATATGATCAGACGACTTCCAAGAAGGTCGTATATGAGGCGCATGGAATGCAGACTGATGTGTTTTGTTTACCGACCTCACCTGTACGTATCAC